ACCAATCTGGACATTTTGGGCCCTTTTCAGAGATCTTCAATTTTCACCCTAGAGCCTTGAAAAAGTGAAGAGGAAATTTTTTTAAAAACCCATCTCTGCCCATTCAGTAATATCTATCAACTAAGGTTTAGACAACAAAGCCATGAACCTTGGCAGTTGAAAGTTTGTTTATTCCCACTCCTCCCCTTAATTTAATAGGAAAGCAAACATTTTCAGGTTAAACCATGCCTAATAACAAGTTTGATTTTCATAGCAACTAGCCTGCCAGGAAATATGCAACCAGGTCTCTGTTTATTTTTCCAGAGTGTGAGTAAACCCACGCCAACATCAGTTCAAGCCTAAAGGGGTGCCTGCTTATCTTAGCTTATCTCAGGCCAGATATGAGGCCCCAGGGTAGCCTTAATCTGGAAGATGAGGAAGGAAGGACAACATCATTCTAGAGGTTAGGGACAACATTCTGGGAAAAAGAAAATCAGGGAAGTAATCACTCACCTGAGAAGATGTCAAGAGATGTCTGGAATATCTACCTGACTCTGTGGTTTCTTCCCCAAACCCCCAAAACTTTAACATTAGACTGTCTACTATTGACCTCACCCCTTTCCTAAGAGGTCTGTAGGGGGTGTGCATAAGCGTACCAACGTGCCTACCGTCCCGGTCCTATTGTTTCCTTTATTTTTCTTATATGTGTCCATGTATTCATAATTATGTTTTTACTTATACCTATTATCTTGTAAGCAGTTGACTAAATAAATAAATGAATGAATGAATAAATAAATAAAAAATAAATAAATAAAATGTTTTTAAAGAAGGGACTCTTATGACTATTTGTTATTCCTTTTTTATAGTTTGTAAGTCGGGTTCTAATAACTCATTAAAAAGGTAAAGGTTCCCCTTGCACATATGTGCTAGTCATTTCTGACTCTAGGGGGCGGTGCTCATCTCCATTACAAAGCCAAAGAGCCAGCGCTGTCCAAAAATGTCCCCATGGTCATGTGGCCGGCATGACTAAATGCCGAAGGTGCATGGAACACTATTACCTTCCCACCAAAGTGGTTCCTACTTTTCCACTTGCATTTTTACACGCTTTCAAACTGCTAGGTTGGCAGAAGCTGGGATGAGTAACGGGAGCTCATTCCATTACATGGCACTAGGGATTCAAACCACCAAACTGCCGACCTTTCTGATTGACAAGCTCAGCGTCTTAGCCATTGACAACTAACAACTCATTAAACTAAGTTAAAAGGAGGTTGGGCAACTTATAGTTCATGTGTTGTGGAAACCCAACCATCCTTTTAGCTGCTCAGACGATGAAATTGATCACCAGATCAATATGGCCTATTGATTTAGGCATAACATGTAAGCTGAATTCTACTCCTTTCTGTAACAGGACAGTGTGTGCAAACTCAGGCATGGGTAATAGTGAACAACAGTTTTGTTATCCTCTGTCACACACCTCCCTGAGATGTTTTGAAAAAGAGCTCTCTCTTTGGCATGTATAGTAATTTATATTTACCTATCAGGCTATTTATGACACCAGAAACTCAAGGGTTGTGTCCTTACAACCAGGTCAGTGAAAGACCTAGCACCTAACATCTGTAACATTTGGTGAGTTTTTAACTTTGGTTGTTTCTTGTTGGTGTTGTGATTGTTAGTGACTTACAAAGCCAGGCCGGTTCGACGAATGGCTTAGCCTAATGGGGTTTGTTGTGTTGTGTGAGCAAAACTAGAATTGGGCTAGAGAGTTGGAGAATCTTCATAGTATTTATGACATCAAAAGCAAGCAAAGGAAAGTTGTAGGTGCTCCATCACTGGAAGTTTTGAAGAAGAGACTGGACAGTCATTTCAGTCCAGAATGGTATATAGTCTCCAGCTTGGGTATTCTATGTCCTGTGATATATGACGATGAATTTAAAAGCTGCAAGGGCACTAAATCAGCGAGGGAGGACTTGGGAAGGATCAAGGGAGTCCATCCCCTTGACAATAGAAGATCTTAAGCACAGGATTGTGAAAATACTCTCCCACCCCCTTCGTTTCTGTATAAATTAAGGAAGGAGAAATAGTCGGACTCAGTATAAGAAATTTGACAGGGGTTGAAATTAAGTATGAGACTAGGACTATGAGATCCAGGCTGCAAAAAAAAAAAAAGATTATGGCTGGATGAGGAATTCTGGGAGTTGAAGTCCGGAAGTCTTAAAGTTGATGAGGTGGGAGACCCCTAAATTCTAGCACAGGCTTAAATTAAGTTCTATAGCAGGGGTGAGCAGCTGTTGCAGTTTTACAACCTATGGACTTCAACAGGTGGACTTCAATGCTGGCTCAAGAATTCTTGGAGTTTAAATCCACAGGTGGTAATGTTGGCATAATTACCCACCCTTGAGTTCAAGCGAGCTAAACTTAGGAAAGGACTCGAGTGAAGTATTAGTACCACTTTACAAAGTCTTGGTAAGGCCACATCTGGAATACGGCTTGCAGTTTGGGTCACCACATTACAAAAGAGATGCTGAGACTTTGGGAAAAGAAAGTGCAGAGAAGAGCAACTAAGATGATTTGGGGACTGGAGACTAAAACATACGAAGAACGGTTGCAGGAACTGGGCCTGGCTAGTCTAGGGAAGAGAAGAACAGTGGGGGACAGGATAGGAGTATTCCACTGTTTGAGGGGCTGCCACAAAGAAGAGGGGGTCAAATTATTCTCCAAAGCACCAGAAGGCAGGGCAAGAAGCAATGGATGGAAACCAATCAAGGAGAGATTCAACCTGGAATTAAGGAGAAACTTCCTAACAGTGAGGACAATTAATCAGTGGAACAGCTGGCCACCAGAAATCATGGGTGCTCCATCACTGGAGGTGTTTAAGAAGAGACTGGACAGCCATTCGTCTGAAATGGTATAAGTTCTCCTGCTTGAGCAGTGGGGTGGACTAGAAGACCTTCGAGGTCCCTTCCAGATCTATTCTGATTCTGATCCTGTTGTCATTGTCTCTGCATGCCTTAGCACAGCCCATCACTCCAGGGCGTGCGTGTCTTGTTTATTATCTTGAGTTCTAAATCCATTCCTCGTTTTGTCCGAGCAGAGCCGAACCTTTGCCGGTTCTTGCCGAGGCAGCTGGCTTCGTCGCCGAATGCCTCCGAAAGGCCAGGCGAGTCCCACGCCCGAGCTTTGCCGAGCCGAACCGAAGGTTGCCGAGCTCCCTAGAGCCCATCCCGTCTTCCAGGCTCTGCCGGGCGCTGTCCACCGCCTGCACCGCCTGAAACCTCCCGCTTATTTGAACAGCCCCGGCAGGCTACAGAAAAGCCACCGGGGACACGGGCATGCACGGGCAGGCTGGCCGAGGGCAGGCACCCAAGATCTCTCTGTGTGTGTGTGTGCGTGCGTGCATGTGTGCGCGCAGGTGTGGCTTGCGTGCAACTCTCCCCCCCCCTCCGCCCCAGGCGCCATTCTTCCTTAGCAACCTGCAAGAGCTACCCGAAGGCTGCCGAGAAGGCCATTTTGCAACGGGCGGGGGGGGGGGGGGAGGGGGAGGGGAGAGGTGGGGAGAACACCCCCTGCCCTTCCGCATTGACTGTCGCTTCTCCCTTCGTCATCTCCTAACCATCCGGCCACTCGCTCCCCTTTAGCCGGGGCATCCAGCTTAAAGAGACACCCGGCAGAGGAGCGCCCAACTCAAGCAGAGACCGTGTGTACGCGAGAGTGCACACACGCACCCCGGTGCTACACCTGGTGTATCTGCTTCCCGCGCCCCGCCCCGCCCCTCCCCACAAGCCTCCTGGGAGCTCAAATCGGCGCCATTGAGAGAGAGAGAGGGGGAGGGGGGGGGGGGGGGGGGGGAGAAACAGGTCCGCTGCAAGGGGGGAGGAAACCCCTTCTTACGACCCGCACTTGTTAGGAATCGCTGCCACATTCACACGCTCCGCAATACACGGGTGTCGACGGGGAGGGGACAGAGAAGCGGAGTGGGGGGAGGGGGCTTGGCAAGGCGTCCATCTCCTGCTCCGGCTTAATTTGGCATGGCAGCCAAATTCTGCCCTGATTAATTAAAAGGCAGGGAAGGGCTCCAAACGAGAAAGCTGCGGGGAAAAGAGGGAGGGAGGCCTGACGGAAACTAGTTTCAAATCTGTATTATCAGGTGCCTTTCCATGCCGAAACCCAACCCTAATTAGTCCCGTAACAAGACCCCAAAGGCTGGAAATGCGGGCAAATGGAGGCCCGGTCTGGGAAGCAGATATTTGGAGGGTGGGGACGGGTAGGAATGCCACAAAGGAATTTGGTGCCAGTGCACGAATGCCTAGGCCAGGGCTAAGTCTCCTCTCCTTCCGACCCCACCCCATCGCTCCTGGCCACCCTTCTTCGCAGGAGGGAGGGAGGGAGGGAGGGAAGGAAGAAGACAGGAATTTCAGATTTCAGCACCACGGAGGCTGAACAGCACCTCACACCTGGCGCAGCGGGTCCCTGCCAGATCTCAGCCAAGGGGGGGGGAGGGGAGGGGGTTTCCTCCCCTCTTCTGCCCACCTGCGCCCCAAGCTTTTGCAACAGCTGCTCCAGATGTTGGGCCTGGCCAAGCCGGGCCCCCTTCAAAGGCACAGCGAGGAGACCATCTCTCCTCCCCATCCTTGGTCTTTCCCGCCTCAAACATGGTGGAGACTCACTCACTGAGCCTTTCCCCACCAACCCATTTTTATTTAGAAGGGCGTGAAAAGGCACAAACGCTTGTATTTACACCGGGGAAAGGCGTTGCCAGACTCCTGAGTGGGGTTTTTTTGTGTGTTTTTTTGCTACCATAGACCAGCGGCTTGGCTCCTAACAAATTCATGGAACCAAAGAGCGGGTTGCCTTCCTCTCTCCCCGCCCCCCCAGCGGTCTCCCACCCCCAACACAACATCAAAGGGAGCTAAGCGGAAAACACTTTTAAGAAAGATTTTTTTTTAAAAAAAAAATTTGGACTCAGTTACAATGCAAATATTTCACTTCTCTCACTATGAGGGTAAGGGATGAGCCTGACTTACTTCATCTGCTTCACGATTGTGCTTTTCCCGGATTCCCCAGCCCCTGTTGGGACAAAATAGAAGGGGAGGGGGAGGAAAGGAGGGGGAGGACATTAAAACCTTCATAAAAGCAAAAAAATATATATAAAAAAATCTGGCCTGTGTGAGAATATAAGAAGATAAAAGCAGATAACGAGAGAAAGAGAGAGGGGGGGGGGGGGGGGAGAGAGAGTGGGGGAGGAGTGGTAGTACTAATGGCTGTGCGCGGCGGGGATGGGTGGGAAGAGGGGAGCCAAATATTTGTGTTTGTGCAATTGATGTTTCGGTGCAAAAAAGGCGAGAGATGAAGGAGATAGGTTTTGTTTTAAAAAGAAAAATAAACAGTGGGAGGGGTAGCAAGACCCCTACCTGTTGGGGAGAGGTGGGGAACTGGGGAGGGGCTGAGATGGGGTTACATTTGAGCCAGTCCATCCAAAGGTGCGGCAGAAGATGGAGCGTGAAAACACACACACACACTCACACACCTAGTTGGTGAAAGGCAGTGATTTATTTGGGCGGAGGGGGACGGATAAAGAGGGTCTAGGCAAACGGGCCTTCGGCCAGGCATCAAAGCTACACCTGGAGGGGGAGTGAATCGCGACCTCAAAGGGACCAGAGGGGGGGGCTGCAGCGGAAATCGTGCCAAGGGGCAGAGCAGGCGGGGGGGGGGGGTCGGGGGGGGGGGGCGGAAGGGCACGGGGGGGGGGGGGGGGGGGGGGGGGGGGGGGGGGGGAGAGAACGGAGAAAGGAAGCCCGGCTTTTGGCTTACCTAGCAGGAGCAATTTCACGTCTTTGGCCGCGCTGATCCCATCTTCCTTGAGGTTCTTCTCGATCGCTTTGCTCCTTTCCAAGGCGGCCCTTTCCTCGGCGCTCAACGTACATCCCATGGTGGCCCCAAATCGGGAACGGTGCCGGGTGGACGGACCCTTCTCCTTCGCCTCTTCCCCCCCACCCTTTCACGGACGATCCCCACCCCCAAAAAAGAAAGAAGTGGGGTGGCGGGTGGGGGAAAGCCGGCCGGGAAGAGCTCGAGGTTGCAACGCCAAAGGCCAAGGGGAGGAAAAATCCTCTCTCTCTCTCTTTTTTTTTTCGCCCCCTTTCTCTCTCTCTCTCTCTCTCTCTCTCTCTTCTCTCTCTTCTTCCCAGCCCTGCTCTTGGCTCGCGCCGGCGAATCAAGGCATCCAAAGGAACCAGCCCAGCTTTGCGGGAGCTGCAGAGGAGCCGGTCGGGAGGGCAGTGGGGGCTGGGGGTGCGGTGGGGGTGGGTGGTGGGGCCGCTGGGAGAAGAAGGGAAGGGAGGTGGCTCGCCTGCCGGAGGAGTCGTCGGAGGAGGAAAGCGGAGCGCTCGAGAGAGCGAGCTGACCCCGCCGGCTGCAGCGCTCCGAGGGCTCCGGTAACCGGTTGCAGAAACGGGAGAAAGTGCTCAAGATTTTGGATTTTTTTTGTTTTTTCCCCTTCCTCCGCCTTTCCTTCTTCAAGCGCAGAATTTCTCGCGGTCCGGTGCTTTTTTGTTGTTGTTGTCTTGTTTTGGTTTTTTCCTTCCTTCTTTCCCTGCAGTTGGATTGGGAGGGGGGGGTTGTTGTTTTTTTTCTCCCTCCCCCTCTTCCTCTCCCCTCCCCCCTAATCTGGGGGGTCTCTAATGGGCGGCGGCGGCGGCGGCGGCGGCGATGGCTGCGAGCGATCGCATCGTTCAGCCCGTCCTAATGGAGAGAAATGCAGAAAGGGTGGCGGTGGGGGTGGGAGTGGGAAGGCGGCCGCGCGCGCGCGTGTGCACGCCAGCCAGCCAGAGGAGAGAGAGAGAGAGAGAGAGAGAGAGAGAGAGAGAGAGAGAAGAGGAGGAGGAGGAGGAGGAGGAAGAGGAGGAGGAGGAGGAGGGGGCACAACGACGAGCGAGCCCGGGCTCTGCGCTGTGCTGACTTCAAGGGGCGAGGCGAGGCCGGCTGGACTGCTGACGTCTGTGGCTCCCCGTCCGCGCATGCGTGCTGGCCAGACAGTTCAGACCCCCCCCCCCCGGGGTGGGGCAGGGTGGGGCGCTTTTTTTGCGGTGGGGGGGATGAGGAGGAAAAGGAGAAGATGGCTAGGAAAGGAAGAGGTCTGTCCTGCCAACCTCTGAGCGCGGGGTGGGATCAGGGACCCCCCCCCCACACCAACAGTTGCTGCTATACTGAGATTTAGCCGCTCTTCCCCCGCCCCCGGCCCGGCTTTTATTCGGTAGGGAAAGTGACGCTCGGGGGGCGGGGGGGGAGTTTCGGTGAAGAGAAAGTGAATGCGCGAGATGCAACCGAGGAGGCTCGCCTGCCCCCTTCTGCTTTGAGTGACTTCGCCTTCCCTGCCTTTTTAATTAAAATGCAGGCTTGGTTTTATTTTATTTTTTAATTTCATGTCCAAATAGGTGCGGTTTTCCCTATCTTATTTTTTTTTAAATAGGCACTTAAAAAAAAAAAAGGATAAATTTTATTTTTGCCACCCTTGGTGCAGGTGCACGAATCGTTGCGTTTTCAAGATGCATTGATTTCCCTTCGTTTTATTTTTTTTCCACCCCTCCCGAGAAGGGACGCGGAGAAAAAACCAAACCAAACCCTGGAGAATCCAAATGCAGGAAGGTTGAGGGTCTTCTCCAGAGAAAGAGAGCGCCCCCCCCCCAAAAAAAAAAGCGGAGCAAAAATTGAACTCTTCTAATGAAGTCCTTTTGCTCCGGGGTAGGTGGTAGGTAGGGACATCGGGATCCCTTAGAACGGGAGGCAAAGCCTGAGAACCACGTTTGATCGCAGTCGTGGCTGGAAACAGGAATTGGAGACATTCCAGTCTAGAGCAGGGGTTGCCAACCTTTTGGACCTCAGGGACCACTAAACTCATAATTTTAAATCCTGCAGACCAGAGACCCTGAGAAAATCCCCCCCAAAAAAGTCTGCAGGAAAATTCCCCACCCGGATTTCCTACTGGTCGACCATTCTTTATTTGGGATCGCAGGATACCGTCTCCAACTCCGTTCTCAGGGGGAGAGAGAGAGAGAGAGAGAGAGACTTTTGGCTTCATGCAAGGAAAGCAACAGAAGCAGCAGAAGTCTTTCTTTCTCTCCCCCAAACTCCGTCAGAAATGAGTCTGTGTGAGACTTGTCCAGCCAGTGCAGCCTTTTAGAGCAGGAGGCCTTGCAGGGTCCCAAAGACTCATTTCTGGTGGAGTTTGGGGGAGAGAAAGAAAGACTTTTGCTGCTTTCCTTGCGTGCAGCCAAAAGCAGAAGACAGAAATGGAAAGAAGCAGCCTGGTGGCCAGGCGAGGTGCGTGGGGTGAGTGGGGCAAGTTCTCCCCCTCCACCCTATCCCCCCTCCCCTCACTATCTCGTGTTGTTCACAATGCAAGTGACACAAGCCTTGTGTTCCCGCAGGCCATGTGGGAGGTGCAGCCTTGTGTTCCCACACAGCCTGGATTAATTGCTTTGGGGTGGACATTTCTCTGCAGACCACCAGAATTTTCTCATGGACCATCAGTGGTCCCCGGCCCACTGGTTGGCAACCACTGGCCTAGAGAGTATCACTTTAGCCAATCTTGAATGCCTTATTCAGTAAGCCATGTTTAAGCCATGATGCTGCATGAATCGAGTGGAGAGGTTTGTTCTCCGCTCCTGGTATCCAGGTGGCTTTGCCCAGCTAAAAGAAGGATCTGCAGATCCATCATGGATAGTTGCCTTGTGTTAAATTGACCCTTCTTCATTTCCCTGGGCCAAAAGAACACTCGACTGTTGGTGTTGTTAGAAAGTGTCTACCTAGGCAGTTATTGAGAGCTAGTCTAGACAGGCTAATGCTTGGATGTGTGATGATGGGGAAATCTCAGGTGGGAAGGTTAGACCGAGAAATTGAAAATCACTACTGGAAAAAAAAAATAAGGGCAATTCATCTTCCTATGATGCCAAAAATCCTGCATGGATGTGCCCATAAAACACGTCCATTTTGAACAGTTGGATTCCATGGTGTCCTCTTTAAAATCAGGAAGACACCAGATGAGTAGCCTAGTGAAGAGAAGGACCAGGGGAGGCAGGATAGCAGTCTTCCAGTGTTTGAGGGGCTGCCACAGAGAGGAGGATGAGGGGGTCAAGCTATTCTCCAAAGCCCCCCCGAAGGCAAGACAAGGAATAATGGATGGAAACTGAACAAGGAGAGATTCAACCTGGAAATAAGGAGAAACTTTCTGACAGTGAGAACAATCAACCAACGGAAGAGAAGTTGCCCTCAGAAGTTGTGGGAGCTTCATCACTTGAGACCTTCTAGAGGAGACAGGACAGCAATCAGTCGGAAATGGTGTAAGGTCCCCTGCTTGGGTGCGGGGTTGGACTAGATGCCCTCCCTTGCAAGTCTTGTTATTCTGAAAAGTCAACCATGAAAGAACAGGCCAGAGGAGATGCAAAGAGGCCAAACATATTTTGAAGCAGGAATAATCACACAAGCAAAGTGATTTTTTTTGGGGGGGGGGGGGTATTTGACCACAACACTGAATGTGCACATTATTCAGGGTATCCAAAAGTTGCATATAACTCTGCTAAGCCATATTTTAACCATGTTTGTAAAATGAGACTCTTGGCACGGGGCTGGGCTTCTATCTTACTGGTACGTTTACAGACCACAGTCATTATTTTTACACTTTGTTCTAAGCCAAAAGCAAAGAAATTACATTAAGGCTTAGGTGTGAACCAAAAGAAAATTGTTGAATTCTCCACTGAAATTTATGCCCAAAGAGATATTTTGAGTGCAGAAATCAGCATCTCTAATTGCATTCAGCTGAATGGTGGATGCAGGTATATCTTCATATTTATTTTTATTTATTTTGATATGCATGCCTTGTCTATTTATACAGTCAAGGCAGCTAACAATGCATTATAATTTTTAAATTAAAAACCATTTTTATAGGGTAGAAAATAGAATAGAATAAACTACAGAACAGAATATAGAATAGAAGAATAGGAGAGGAGAGAGAAGAGAAGAGAAGAGAAGAGAAGAGAAGAGAAGAGAAGAGAAGAGAAGAGAAGAGAAGAGAAGAGAAGAGAAGAGGAAAGCAGTAAAAATTAACAGTGCCAACATCCACTCCATACCTTTCTCCTTGTTGCTTTCTGGAGATGTGAGACCTTCCTGTGATGTCTGCTTTTGGTCATTGATCTAAAGTTGCAAAGCCCTTTGCAAATATGATAGGAAAAAAATGATATTTTTTTAAAAAAAATGTACAGGCAGCAAGAGGAAGCAAAATGCATAGATAAGGTTTTTAGTTTTTAAAAATCTGTAATTATCACCTTTTTAAGTTTTCATATGATACTTTCCAGGTGGACAATAACTGTACCTACTGCACCTGTTCGACAGAGAAGGAAAGGCATCTCCTTCTATTACTACTACTACTACTACTACTACTACTACTACTACTACTACTGCTGCTGCTGCTGCTACTGCTACTACTGTTTCTAAAATAAAAATTACACACTTGCCTACTTGAAAAGCAAAGATGGGTAACAAAGATGGGTATCTCTGAGCTTGGTTGTTTTCTTGAAGACATTTCATTACCAAACTAGCTCACATCATCAGTATTAGTAAGAATTGGGATTTGCTCTTATTTTATACTCAAGTGCCTTGCCCTGTCAGTGTTGGTGGGAGTAGTCTTAGTGGTTCCTTGTTTGGGCAATTGTTCTTGATATCCCCTTCTAGCACAGATGATCTTACCTAGATGGGTAATGAAATGTCCACAAGAAAATAACCAAGAGAGCGCCAAGGACCCCTCGTAGCTCCACCCTCTCTGCAACCATGGGGAGAAGCGGCATCCTAAGGTAGAACCCCAAATTCTTCTTAAAAGCCCCAAGGAAAATGGGATGTGGGCTGAGCCGATCCTTCGATTACATTTGAGTCAAGTGTTTGCTAATCTAAACAGAAATAAATGCAGGGCACCGAAATATAAATACATCACCA